ATATCTACCACATTTTTATGCTATTATTTGTTTGCTGTGTAATTTCCTTAGGACCACAAAATGACCAGAGTAAATACAGGGTATGTATTCGGGCTTGCTTTTGATGAAATTGAGTACATCTCTTTCTAAGAGCAAATAAACTTTCTCAAGACTTCCTGATCAAATTCCTCTTATATCTCACTGGCTAGAATTATGCACCATGCCTGTTCTAAATCAGTCTTTGCAGAGGAAATTCTGCTTGGCTTAGGTAAATCAGAACCAATTCAAAAAGGCTCAGAGAATGTCCAGAATACATGTCTCTCTTTTTCTCTCCCTTTTTTTCTCCCTCTCCTTCTCTTTATCCCTGTCTCTCTCCTTCCCTCCATTCCCCCTCCTCCCACACACACACATTACTGGTGTCAATATCTGAAGAGAACAGATTTCACTTAAAGAAGGAGAGGAGATAGTTGGCAAATACTTGTGTCTGTGACATTAGAGAAAATAAATTTTTAAATGAACTTTACATTTCTGATACTCTTGATTTATGGTTATATTTTTCAAGTCCTGGTAGCCTGAAAGAAAAACTTATCTCTTAAATCTTCTTAGAGCCTTGAATAAGCTAATGTGCCTGGTGTCTCTCCAAGAAAGACATAAAGCCTACAGTGTTCCACAAATAATATTATTTAAAACACTGCTATTATTTTTCAAGATATTCTTTCTGGGACAAATGTCTCTATGAATGCAATATTGAAATGATCTCCTGAATTATTAGTCTGAAACAGTTCCATAGTACACATTTTATAGTGGTCATAAGGCTTTCATGACTGCCTTTTTTAAGTACTATAAAAAATAACAAATTTGTGAAGTAGCAGGTTATAAAGTTAATATGAGAAAATGAATTGCATTGTAAAATAAGTATTGTAAAATATTAATGCAAGAACCTAGTTGGTGGGTTCACTGTAAAGTTCTTTCAACTTTGCACTATGTTTAAAATTTTTCATGATAGAAAGTTGAAAAGCAATAAAACCACAACAAATCAAAGAATAGCTTTTACATATACAACCAAAAACGAATGAGAAATACACAGCACAGAAAACTGTATTTAGAATAGCAAAAATAAGTGAAATATCTAGGTTAACTTTTCAGGAAACACTCAAAACTTTTGAGAAATAGTTAAACACTGAAGGAAGCAAAGTATACTTGACCAAGAGCAAAAAGAAAGGTAGAGACTCACCTTCAAAAGATTTCTGTTCTAGTTTATTTATAAATACAGCATAAATGCAATACATATACCATCAAAGTTTTTTTTTCTCAAGTTATGTAAGTGATTAATAAGCTCATTTCAGTAAATAAAAACTACTGGGAAATTTGGGGTAATTATGTGTAGAAATATCTAACTCTACCAGTTATCCAAATATTATCCTTTATAATTGGTGCATGAATAAACAAACCACGCAATGAAATAGATTTTTAAAATCTAGAGATAGAACTAATTACATATGGAAATTTAGTGTAGAATGAAGGCACCACCTCAAATCTATGACAGAAGATAAGCTGTTGTATGTTGAATGATATAAAAAGTGAATGACTATACTGAAAAAGATAAAATTTTGACTTATTCCTCACCCCATACACCAGAATACATTAAAAATGGGTCAAATATCTCTCTTTTTTTTTTTTTAAGGGAGAGAGAGAAAGAGCATGCATTTGAGCAGAGGTGGGGGAGAAAGGGCAGAGGGAAGGGGAGAGAGAAAATCTTAAGCAGGCTTCACACTCAGCAGAGAGCCCAACATGGGGCTCAATTTCACAACCCTGAGATTATGGCTTGAGCCAAAATCAAGAGTCAAATGCTTAACCAATTGAGCCAACTAGGCACCCCTCAAATATCTAACTTTTAAGAGCAAAGTTATATAAGTACTAGAAGAAGACATGGGTGGAATCTTCTTTACTCTGAGAGCGGGAATTCATAATCTAAATGTTAAAAAAAAGAATACAATAATTTGTTTAGAAAAAAATTTTACATCTACAAAATTTCATTTGGAAAATAAGTATGTAAAGAAAGTAAATGAGGGATCCCTGGGTGGCGCAGCGGTTTGGCGCCTGCCTTTGGCCCAGGGCACGATCCTGGAGACCCGGGATCGAATCCCATGTCGGGCTCCCTGCATGGAGCCTGCTTCTCCCTCTGCCTGTGTCTCTGCCTCTCTCTCTCTCTCTCTCTGTGACATCATGAATAAATAAATAAAATCTTTAAAAAATAAAAGAAAATAAATGAAAAATGACCAACTGGGAATAAGATTTGAAACTTAATCTCAAGGAGTTCAAATCTCTAATTAATAAAAAGCTTCTAAAAATAGACAAGAAGAATGCCTGGATGGCTCAGTGGTTGAGGGTCTGTCTTTGGCTCAGGTCCCACATTGGGCTCCTCGCAGGGTACCTGCTTCTCCCTCTGCCTCTCTCTCTCTGTGTCTCTCATGAATAAATAAATAAATAATCTTTAAAAAAAAGGAAATGACCAACTTATTATAAAAGTTGGCTGGATAATAAACAGTTTACAGAAAAAAGAAATACAATGCCTCTTAATCATATGCACAGATATTCAACCTCGCCTATAGTAAGAAAAATGCAAATGAAAATACACGATAGAGGTATTTCTTGCATATCTACCTGATTGACAAAATCAAGTTCCATAATACACTTTGGTTGAGGTCCTTAGGGAATGAACACTCTTACCCTTTGTTGGTAGGAGAGCAAATTAGTGCAGTCTCACTCTAGCAGAGAATGTGAGAAAATAGAAAAAAATACATATATCATTTAACAAAATCCCTCTTCTCTGATTCTACCACCAAAATAGGCAAAAAATTGAAAAACAATTTTCAAAAGTCTATTCATATACTTCTTAGACTGTTAGGCAAGATATTCTAAGAATGTTATTGGTATTATGGAACATAAGGCAAATGAATCATTAGAATAGTATCATTAAGAACTAGGAATTTCCTCATAAAAGAAAGGAGATAGGAGTGAAAGTGTGCCAACTTTAATAAAAAAATTATAGTACTGAATTTTAATTGGAAGTAGCAATATGAATTTTTAATGAATTTTGTCTTACTCAAAGAAGAGAAATCCTGTACACACACTGAAAAGACCTAGATCCAATGATAGACAGTAAGCGTATGTAAAACAGAAGTATCTGCCCTGTGAGATACTAATGTGTTCTTCAAAAAGGAAAAATACAAATTGAAGCAAATTCAGAAAATTGTGAAATTTTTTCTTATGGATTATAGTTTTTTCCATGACATTAAATGCTTTGGAAAAGACTCTCAGTAAAGAAATCTAAAAATATTTAATGCAGTGTCTATAAGGACCCTTGTATTTTGCAGGGGAAAGGTTTGGGGTTGTATAATTCCTCTTTTTTTTTTTTCCACTATAGAAATGTACCATAGAAAACAATTTGAGAAATACAGCTATGAAAGTGAAATGCAATTTGTGGATAATTATTCCTCCTAAAGGATCAAGAGGTCTAAAGAGAGGTCTTGGTGTTATGTACTTAATGGATGTATAATTTAATACGAATATTGTTTAGAATCTACTAAATACTAAATGCTGTGTTTGCTGTTGGGGATATAAGGGGGAAGAAATAAAAGAAAAAATTCTGGTAAACTGGTAGAGCATTAAAATATAGTGCTACTATTTTATAATACTTGAATTTTTTCATGAAAATCCTTAAATGGGACTGAGGGACTGGAGTGAAGGCAACCATTGCATTAAGCCATGAAGAAAGAATGAGATTGTGATGAGTAACAGCAAGGAGGCAGGATGTTTCTGGCAAAGTCAAGAGCATGAGTAAATATAAGTTAATGTTAGAGTTAACGGTGTATTCAGAACACACACACACACACACACACCATATCTGTCTGGAACAACAACAAAATATAGGGAATGCTTTGTGTAGGGCCAATGTAGTAAGAATGTGAGCTTTGGACTTGGACAAACTTGAGCTACCATCATCAGTCTACTTGTAAATGGTCTTGGGAAGTAATTTAATCTCTATTAAGGCTGACCTTTCCTATGTGTATAGTGAGGATAAATAATATTTAACTCACAAAGTAAGAATGAAATAAAAATAATATATGCAAAGTTTCTAACACAATGAAGGGCACTTAATGCCAGTTTTTATTATTAGGCAGATGTGGGCAAAGTGATACATACTCTCATTTGTCAGGGGAAAGAATTTGAATTTTATTTTATAGGCAAAGGAGAACCATGGAAAAATTCTGAGCATGAGGGTGAGGTGATACGCTCTGTTACTTGGAAATATGAATATGGAAGAATGAATAGATGAAGTGGGGCATCTAGCATTGCATCCCGATGGAAGATGAGAAGGGCATAAATGGGGCATTGATAGTGTGGCTGCAACTGTTCAGTGTTTACAGAGCTAGAATTGATAGAACTTGGCTCCTCATTAGATAAATGTGAGGGTGGGGAATAAGAAAGGAAGGAAGGAAAAGATGACAAAATTTCTAGCCTGAAAACCTAAGTTGCCAATAATACCAGCCATTGAGCCAGACAAAAGATGGAGTAGGTATATAGAAGTGTATTGAAATCAGGTGTAGAATTCAGTTTGTTTTCTATCATTTTCCTTTTGGTCTATCACCTCTTTAGAGTGAGCAAGCTCTGAAAATTCGAATATTACAGTCCAGCCTCTAATCCCAGCAACCCCTTTATTCCATGGAACCACTATATTTGAACAGTATATTTATTGGCTTTACACAAGCCATCATTGTGATCTTTTGAAGTGTCATTCTGAAGCTTGTCTAATACATGAGACAAGTTAGTCCTACCAAGTCAAACACGAAACACTATTAAAACAACTTAATATGGTAGCCAAATGTAGATACGTAGTTTGCACTCTTGTATTCCCCCAGAACATTGTTTGCTTTAAGCATAGTTGAAAGTTAGTGCAAATTTAGATGTTTACTCAACACCAGTCTTTGTGTGTGTGTGTTTCTTGTTTTAATGTGCAGGACAGGAGAGAATTGGAAAAGATTCCAACTATGAACAGGAAGGTAAAGTTCAGTTTGTGATTGACGCAGTCTATGCGATGGCTCATGCCCTCCATCACATGAACAAAGATCTTTGTGCTGACTACCGAGGCGTCTGTCCAGAGATGGAACAAGCTGGAGGCAAGAAGTTGTTGAAGTATATCCGCAATGTTAATTTCAATGGTGAGTCTCCAAATATACATGATTTTTGAAATTCTAAGTGTTGATATTCTGGGTGTCTTAAGTTAAGTAGTTAAATTCTTGATTGCAAAGACCTGGTCATTTTTATGATTTCAAATGGTTGAATCAACATATGAATGATGAGTTAATGAATGAATGAGTAAATGAATATTGGAAAGTTATGGTTTGTCTTCCTTTTCCCAAAATAGAGAGATACTCACAGAAAGCCAGATTCTTCCTCAGTGAATATTAGGAGTGAGAGGGGAAAGTGGAAAGAGAAGGGACAGTTTCTCCAGGTGTCTAAGTCAATTGAAGTAATGAATATAAGTTGCTACAACAACCACATCCTAGATTATGCAAATTTCTGTTAGAAATTAATCGTTTACCTAAAAAAGGTAGTAAAGATGGGTGGGAAAAATGGGCAAATAGAGTAAAAGGCATGAAGGAGAAATACTACTTCTCTGATAATACCTTTCATACAGTGTTGACTCTTACAAACTTTTGAACATTTCACGTATCAAAAGCTAAAGAAATATTTAAAATAAACCTGAATGTGGGTTGAATTAGTCAGTTTTCCAGAGAGACAGAACCAATTGGATATATATGGATATACAGAAGATATTAATTTATAGGAATTGGCTCACACCTTTATGGAGAGAGGGAAGTCCCTCTGTCTTCAGTCTACAACCTGGAGAACCAGGGAAGTTGGTATTGCAACTCAGTCCGAGTGTAAAGACCTAAGAATTGGAAGGCTTCTGCTACAAGTCCTGATCTGAGTCCAAAAGCCAGACAACTGAGAGCACTGGTATCTGAGGGCCAGAGAAGGCACCCCTCTGTCAAGTAGAGGCAGTGAATTGGCCCTTCCCCTGCATTTTCACTCTAGTCATGCCCTCAAGAGACTGAAATGATTGCCACCCCCCACCTTGAGGGCCACCTGCTTTATTCAGTTTACCAATTTGAATACTAGTCTTTTTCAGATACAGCCTCACAGATACACCCAGAAGTAGTATTTTACAGGCTATCTGGGCATCCCCAGTCAAGGCAACACGGAAAATTCACCATCACATAGGTATAACACAGAATTCAATACAGACAGTAATAAATAAACTTCACTGTGTTACAAATAAGCAATGTAACCACCCTGAGGGGTTTGAGGAACAAAAAATGAGCTCAGGTAGGTTTGAAAGATAGTATTTGACTATATGCCATATAAGACTAAAGACAAAAATAACTATACACAATTATTGTACAATAGCTAGTAAACTTGTGGGTTCACAATTAGGAAAATAATTTATGTGAGAGGACTCAGAGAATAATGAAGTATATTATGGATAATTAGAGCCAGGTTTTTACTGCCAGAGAAAGAAGTTACTGGTAAGAATAAGAGAAAACCAGAAGAAACCTTGTGTTGTGTTTGGGTAGGAGATACCTGCATGAACTCATCGCTGCTTTTTTAAAAATATTTATTTATTTAGAGAAAGAGAGAGTGCTTGAATAAGGGGAAATGGGCAATGGGGGACGGGCAGAGGGAGAGAATTCTCAAGCAGACTTTCCACTGAGCTCAGAGCCTGATGCAGGGCTCTATCCTAGGACCCTGAGATCATGACCTGAACTAAAATCAAGTTGGATACTCAACTGACTGAGCCACCCAGGTGCATCAGAACTCATAGCTTTTAATATGCATGCAGATAGGTAGATACAGGAGTAGATATGTGTATGTTATATATGTGTACATACCTATGTTGCCTAGTTCTCTCCACTGAAAGGGCTAGGAGCAATGACACCTTGATAGAAAAGATGACACCTAGAATCCACATCTTATTTATATATATATATACATTTTCCAGTAAAAAAAAAATAATAATAATACCTCTTTAGAGTAACTTGATTTAAGGACCAGGGCAGCAAAAGTACAAGATGAGTTTGAAGCATCATGTTGTGCCAGAAAGTAAGAAAGTGCGCAAAAACTGATGGGATCATGTTGAAAGAGCACTGGAACCAACTTGAGGGAGACCACACCTGCCAATTTGAGGGCAATAATGGATTAAACTTACAGAATGAAGCAAACATCAGTGAGTCTATACTGATAAAAATAAGTGATCGAATTGAATACATAAATGCAGAATAAGAAATATAATGTCATGACAGGCAGCAGTACAATGTTACCATTAATATGGACCTCCGTATTAATTGTTCCAAGCAGGAATCGTCAATGGATACTAAAATTATTAAGATAAATTATGATAAGAAACAAGATATCTGCATGCTCTCAAAGTATCTTCCATCAAGAAACATTAATTACAAAGGGGAAAAGAATAACTCAAAAGTGGAGAAACTTGGAAGACAGCACCTTAACCAAGTAATCCAAGTTAACATCACAAAAAAAACCCCACAAAGTTAATATCACCAATAATGAAATTTAGTGACATCACTTACCTTTGATACCCTACGGAAGTTACAACATCATTTCTAAGGTCTTATTGCCAAAAATACATACCCTCAGTCTATTCACCAAGGAGCATCAGACAAATCCAAATTGAAGGATGTTTTCCAGAATAAATGGCTGGTACTCTTTAAAACTGTCCAAGTCATGACAAAGTCAGAAGGAGGAATTATTCCAGACTGGAGGAAACTAAGGAAATATTACTATTAATGTAATGTGGGAACACTGATAGATCCCATACCAAAGGACACTAATGAGACAATGAAGAATTTTTAATATCATTTTATTTTATTATTTTAATCACGATAGGTATACTCTTTAATTCCCATCACTTATTTAACCAATTCCCCTTGTCACCTTCTTTCTGGTAGCCATCACTTGGTTTGTGTCTCTTTTTTTCTTCCTCTGCTCATTTATTTTGTTTCTTACATTCCACATGAGTGAAATAATGTCAGAGAAAATTGCAAATAGCAAGATTTCATTCTTTTTTATGGCTGAAAAGTATTCCATTGTATATGCATACCACATCTTTTTTAACCATTCATTTATCAATGAGCACTTGGGCTGTTTCCATAATTTAGCTATTGTAAATAATGCTGCTATAAGCATCGGGGTGCATTATCTGTTTAAATTAGTATTTTTGTATTTTGGAATAAATACCCAATATTGCTGGATCATAGACTATTTCTATTTTTAATTTTTTTGCTGGACCTCCATAGTGTTTTCCACAGTGCCTGCACCAATTTGCATTCCTATCAACAGTGCAAGTGTTCCCTTTTTTCCACACCCTCACCAATACATGTTATTTCTTGAGGTTTTTGGTTTTCGCTTTGTTTTGTTGTTGTTGTTTTTAAGGCCATTCTGACAGGTGTGAGAAGTTTTGATTTGCATTTCCCTGATGATGAGTGATGGTTGAGCATCTTTTCCTGTGTCTTTTAGTCACTTGTATGTCTTATTTGGAGGAATGTCTAGAGTTCATGTCTTCTGCTCATTTTTTAATTGGAATATTTTTGGGGTCTTGAGTTTTAGTGGTTCTTTATATATTTTGGGTTCTAATCCTTTATCAAATGTGTTATTTGCAACTATCTTCTCCCATTCCATAGGTTACCTTTTAGTTTTGTCGATTGTGAGAATTTTTTAAATTGCATATATTTCAAATAGTATTGAATCAATGTTAATTTCCTGAATTAGATCATTACATTTTGATTTGAAAAATCATCTTCTCTTCTTGTAAATAATAATCTATTTAAACCCATGTTACTGCATCAGTCATTTAGGAGTTACCTCATAGCTAGATGGAGGGAAATCATAGCCAATTTTGAAACTAATAGTTTCTTATTAATATGGAGACAAAAATGACTATATATAAAACCAGAAAAACAGTTTAACTACAAATAATCTTTTTTAATACTTTCTTCTGATTCTACAGAATCTCCTAGAATCCATAATTAAATTCCCCAGAACTAAATGCATATAAATTTTATGATTTATCAAGCAGTTCTGTTTATCATATGTGTTATGGTCAGTTTGGGTTTTGTATTCTGGTCTGTGGATATGCATAGCCATTCTTACCCTAGTAACAAAAAAAAATGATTTTGAAAAAGTCTTTGGTGACTTTGCCCTGACTCTTCTTCCAAATAATGTCTGTGGACTCATTTGGCCAAAATGATCTTTCCCACTGATGAGCCAGAGTTGCTGAGGTTATGACTGGATGCAGGGTTCATTTTTATCAAATGATTACTATGTGTCAGAACCTCTGCTAAGTACTTCACTTGCGTTGGCTTCCTTAACATTCAAAACTCCAAACTGTTTAGGTTCTCTTATATTCCCTATTTTTTTAAAGATTTTTATTTATTTATTAATAGAGACAGAGAGAGAGAGAGGCAGAGACACAGGCAGAGGGAGAAGCAGGCTCCACGCAGGGAGCCTGACGCGGGACTCGATCCCGGGTCTCCAGGATCACGTCCCGGGCTGCAGGCAGCGCTAAACCTCTGCGCCACCAGGGCTGCCCTAATTTTTTTTTTTTATAGATAAGGAGTGATTCATAGGGAAATTAAGAACCATGATGTTTTAAGGCACATAGGTACATACTTGGTGCCTTACTTGATGCTACATACTTGGTACCTGGAGTACCTAACTCCATAACTTGCTCCCTAGACTACTGTTTAAGTATCTGAGAAGAAGGGTTTAGTGCATCATTCCTGCTGACATCTTAGAATGGAGACTTTTTTTGCATGTTTTTAGGGAGGATTTTGATTTTTCTTTGTCTCAATACGTTTAATTGTCCTCTTATATTATTTTAGTTCAAAGTTTTTTGTACCCCTGGGAGTTTTGTTCCAGACCAGTAGAGTACAATTTAATAACTCTGAAATTCACATTTACTGAAGCATCATTTAGGAAATAAGAAAATGCCCTAAAAGTATTGTTATAGGTTCATCAGGTGCTTAACCTCCTTTTATGCACCAAGAGAAAAGGTGGCTAATTTTGTCTTCATTACTTACAGCCATTTTTTCCTGCATCCCAATGAATGCAATGACCTGAGCCTAAATTTGATTTAGTT